AGGGAGCAGGCGTGAGCACGTCCCACCCGCAGGTGCCCGCCACAGCCAGGGAGCAGGCGTGAGCACGTCCCACCCGCAGGTGCCCGCCACAGCCATCATGCTAAAACACACCACAACGGGCTAAGCGCTTGGCTCTCGGGCAGGGGCTGTGCGACCACCACGTAGGCTGTGGCAGGAAGAGCCGAGAAGGGGCTGGTGGGCCCTGGGCAAGGAAGGGAGTTGGGGCCCCTGGACAAGGTGACCCGGGGCCTACACCACCGACTGTGCGTGCCAGGTCCTTGAGCTAGAGACCATCTGGCAGTGCCCACTTTCAAAAAGACAAGGCAGAGCTGCCAGAAGAAACCCAGCAATCTCAGCCCCACGTCCCACAGGCTCCGGTTTGAGGGAGGCGAGCGCCCGCACAGGGACAGAGCAGCGAATCACCTGAGGTGTGCCACCAGTTCCTTCTCCTCCATCAGGAAGTCCAGCAGCACCTTGCTGGCATAGTTAAATGCCTTCTCGATCTGCTCCACGTATGCCCGCTCTTTTAACGTGTAGATGATCTCTTTAGCCACCGGGCAGGTGACGTCATGGCCACACTCTCTGACCACATTTAGATATTTTCCTGAAAACGGATAGAAATTAAAAGTTTTATCCTCCACATGGTCGATCTCAGGCCCTAGCTGTCTTCGTCTACACAGGAGGCAGTGGACTGGAAACTGGGCTGCATGAGGCGGCTCCACACCCTTGCTCCCTCCTGGTAAATCACGGTCAGCTGCTACAGACTGAGCGGGTGGTGTCAGGGCTTTGCTGTGGCTCTGCACATCTGGAATTTTCTAACCAAGGGCACAGAAATAATTTCGAAAAGGCATTATGAGAACCAGATGGCTAACCGCTTCCCAACCCTTTCGTGACGGCCCCGATGTGCCGAGTCCAACCCCGCACCGCTGCCCCGGGTCTAGGTCAGGCCCTAACCTGTGTGGTCAGAGACTGAAAACACTGCCGGCCAGCAGGCGCGTGTCTCTGACGGTTTTTCCTGTCATGCTAATGGAGTTTTAGAAATCAGAAATGAGAAATAGGGAAGGCACCCGTGAGAGAGCCTCCTAGGGTCAGGGACAAAACAAAGTCCTGGCAACGGAAACCTGATGAAACCTGGCAACAGAGACCATCTCACGGCCTAACTCAGCACTGCAGCCCAGCTCATGGGCCGGTCCTGACCTCGGCCCCACATTCACGGACACCCAGGCTCAGGACGCCCACAGGGTGAGGCGCGGGCTCCCGCGGGAGGGCCTGGGCTGCAGGAGACTCTCCAGGCAGAGCTGTGCTGCGGCCCCGGGCCAGGTCCCCGCTGTGTGCACTGCACCTGTGCTGAGGATCTTGTCCGCCACCTTCTGCAGGAAGGAAGGGATCTGCTGCTGGACGATGGTGTACCGCTGGTCCCAGTACTTGTCATTGTAATCCTCCTGGATCCTCTCCTTCCGCAGCTCATGCTCCTCGACCATAAACTCACTAAAACCACAGGGAGTGCTTCGGTCACAGGCAAAGCAAGGGCGCCTGTGAGGCAGACGACACACTTCTCCAGGCCGGCAGCGTGGAGGGACCTTAACGGAGGCCAGCACACTTCCAAGTAACGTTCCACAAGGGCCAAGCCTAACCTACCAGTTATTTCTCAACTGTGGGCTAAAACAAACCTAGGGGCCGAGCGCGGTGGCTCACACCTGTAACCCCAGCACTTTGGGAGGCTGTGGTGGGTGGATCACAAAGCCAAGAGATCAAGACCATCCTGGCCAACACAGTGAAACCCCGTCTCTACCAAAATACAAAAAAGCAGCCGGGCGAGGTGGTATGTGGCTGTAGTCCCAGTGACTTGGGAGGTTGAGGCAGGGGAATCACTTGAACCTGGAAGGTGGAGGTTGCAGTGAGCTGAGATCACGCCACCGCACTCCAGCCTGGCAACGGAGTGAGACTGTCTCAAAAAAAAAAAGAAAAAGAAAAAAAAGAAAACCAAACAAACCTACAAACCTCACTCTGGAACGGAGCATTTAACCTGGGCTCAGGGAGAATGCAGGGTCCGCAGAGCTAGGTGGGAAACTGATTTGTCTTTATCTGCACCTGCCTCTTTTTGGAATTTAGCATTTCCTTCCATGATGAACCCGGGCAACAAAATGATGCTCGTGTGGGGTGCGTGGGGCCAACACGGACAGAAACCAGACATCTCCACGTTGTCATCTGAACTACCTCAAACATCATCTGCTTCGAGTGCGAAGGTGCTTTGTTTAAAGGTGCCCATTGTACCACATTGTATTTGGTCCGTTAGGGAAGACATAATATGTCCACGTCACACATGCATCTTCTGAAAATATTTCAACAATGGTATGTCGACATGATAGACATTAATACAATGCTTTGGGAACTAACATATATTTATGCATTTAAATATATCTCACCGAAAAGAAGCCGAGAGACCCCACCAGATCAGGAAATCCATGCACCAAAGAGGCTGAAGGACCTAGCTGGAAGCAATTTAATGTCCTGCACACAAAAGACTAAGGCCATAAGCAGCTGGGCCATTCCTGTCCTGGGCCGCATGGGCAGCAGCAAGTGGACACCTGTCTGGTGTGTGCTTTCCTGAGACCACAAGCAAAGCAAGGCCAGAGCCCCCCGGAGAGGGCAGCACGCGTCCTCCGTGTCCCGGGAGCCCTACCTGTACGGGACAGGGCGGCACGCGTCCTCCGTGTCCCGGGAGCCCTACCTGTACGGGACAGGGC